GGGGGCTTAGGTTTTTATCACGTAGTCAATATCCACTAAGAAAATCTAGCGTTTTTTTCGAGCTACATTCAAATATGGCGCGCAGTGTTTGTCGCTTTTTAAACCCACAGATGGCAACACTGACGAACAGACGTCAGCTGATTGAACAACCATCGAAAAAACGTGCATGGTGGTGCGGTGGATGACGTGTCTCGCGTGCGACCTCTGCGGGTTCTCTCTAGGAGACCACAGGAGGCCTTGTGTGTCATAAAGGAATGCGTGGAGTGGATAGATGTCGAGGCTGTCAATGAAGAGATAATAATTACGTCTGAGGAAACTCCCGATGTTACCGCCCCCGTGATCTACGATGTATCCGAGTGGATTGATGCTGGGAAGGTGTTTGTTGAAGATGATTGAGATGGAAAATAAAGGTTAATAAAAATAACGGGACATTTGTTTCTATAATTTAAGTACTGCTTAAGATATATTTTGACATTTTATCTTGATAATATTTTTTCCACTTGTAATTATAGGTATGAAAGCACTCCTGCCGTCACGCAGCAAGCGCCGTGTTAATAAAGACAATTATAAGCCAAATATATTTTTTTTTCAACTTTTTGTTAGCAAGAAATGATTCAAAACCATATTTATGAATTACTACGTGAAAACTGTAGGGGGAGGGGGGGGTCTTGGAATATACTACCCGCGGCCACCGAGGGGGGAGGGGGGGGTTAAAAATTTCAAAAAGTGGGTCACGTAGTATGGGTACGTTCCCNCTATTATTATTATTATTACTGTTGGGGATAGAGCACTCCGACCTTAAGATCTATTGTGCCCGATGCATGGATTTATAGTCAGTCTGTCTATTAATCCAGTATGCGAGAGAAACTTTAGTATGGAACCCAAATCTACGGATTTCATTTCGCCTTTGGTTATCAAATGTTCACCCAGGTGCCTTTGCGTTTGTGCAACAGTGCAGGGCATTCTTCTTCTAAGCTGTGCTGTGCAGTCTCGTTTTCCGTTCTGCAAAATCTGCATCGCTCATGCGAGTATTCTCCCAGTTTAGTCAGGCGATACTTAGTTCAGCCTGCAATGTCCTGTCAGGATTCCTGTAAGAATTCTTAAGTTGTTCTTGAAGCGTTTTAGGTTATATGTTCCTAAATGTGCTTTGAACTGCTCTCTAGAAGTGGTAGAGCGTATGCCACCGTTCATTCATTATATTTGTAAGCAATTTTCCATGTGGTAGACCTTGGAAGCATCCACATGCTGGCATGCCAACTCCTGACCCAGCCTGACCAGTCCAACAGTTGGGCGTATGAGTGTCTTAAATTATTTCTGAATATGTAGTATTTGTTGTAGAATTTAATTGAAATTGGTTTAGGAAAAGTGGAAAGCTTGTATTTTGTAAAGTGCATACCTCTTACATCTAGCAAACATCTGTACAATTACATAGAATTGCGTGTAGGTGTGCGTTTCACATTTGCAAGCATGAAAATCAACTCCTAAGTATGTATATTTAAGTTAAGACCCACAACTTATTGTGGCTGTTGTGGTATTTGCTGTTTAAATTGCTGCAAACCCTTGGAAGTAAGCAAGTCAACATACATATGTACTCTCTTTTGGGAGGCAAAGGACATAGGAAAACCGAAAAGTTGTATGCTGTATTAAATAAGTACCTACACACATGTGTGTTGTGGGCGGTTCATATGAATAAAAATATAATTAAATATGAATTTAAAAATACATATGCAAGTGAAAATGTTTTCATAACGACGAACGGACATACATGCATATATTTGTTATTTTCAAAAAGTTTTAAGTGAGTGGTCATGACATTTGTTTCTGGTTAAGCAACACGCATCGAATAGTATGTTTAGTTAAAATATAAAAACTTTAGAAAAATATCACAAAAATACAGCAAACGAACAAGTTTTTAAAAGCAATTGTTGAGGGTTGTTCTATGTAGTTCGTATATTCCGNGTTTCTGGTTAAGCAACACGCATCGAATAGTATGTTTAGTTAAAATATAAGAACTTTAGAAAAATATCACAAAAATACAGCAATTGTTGAGGGTTGTTCTATGTAGTTCGTATATTCCGTTTAAAAATCCCCGCTTTTGTAAAGGTGCTTGTAAACCAGTGATTCCCAAAGCGGGCCAGGTGGACCCCCATGGGTCCATGTGAAACTCGACGGGGGTCTACGTTGGCGTGAAAAAATATGGGGGACCACGAAAATTTATCTGGTTTCGATAGTAAAGAACCAAAATGGTTGCTCGATAGCCTATTTATTTAACTTGAATTTTTTTGACCGTCACTTTGTGTTTTCATACGTAGGAAAACCTTAAAGTCCACCTGCAGACTAAAACGAACCGGATGTTGGTACAACACTGAGTGGGGTGCGGCGGAAATTGCTGGCGGCAGAGATTTAAGCACTTGTGTATTTTCAATGCTACAGGATAGTACGCCACCATTACCTTTGTGGAAGAGATTCTATAATGTTGAGTTCCCTGAGACTGAATGCTGGCTTAATTCCATCACTGAGACCGGACCTACACATTGTTGAATCTTCATTGATGGCTCCAAAACTGACTCTGGGTCATGAACTGGGGTCTTTGTGGGTGTTAATGGGGATAAGCTTCACTTTTCTGCTAGAGAATATGCCTCGGTCTTTCAGGCTGAGGTAATTGCAATCCTCAAAGCCATGGACTACGTGGCGGAACATAGGTGGAGGAGAAGGAGTTTGTGTGTCTGCAGTGACAACCAAGCTGCACTTAAGGCATTGGCCAGCCCTCTAACTACTTCCTAACTAGTTCGGCAATGCAAGCCTCGAATAAATTATGGTGGTAAACATAACGAGCTTGCTGTACTCTGGGTGCCATTTGGCCAGAATTGGCTCAGACCAGGCATTCCTCGGTCCGCAACCAGTTTTAGCACACCCACTTTCGGCCACCGAAGCAACTGGGGAATACTTCGCTCAACAATGACTGGGAGGCATCGACTGAATGCAGGTGTGCACAACTCATGTTGCCTTCAATCGCAGAAGGCCTATCTAGTTTTTTGATCTCAGTGAGCAGACGACACTGCAGAAAACTTGTTGGACTGCTCACTTAACGTGGCAAAAACAGCTCTTAAGTTTTGTGTTTTAAAAAGGATAGTAATGAATATTTTTCGCATCACTTTAAAACTCGGACCGATAAAAATAGAAAAGATGCCATCAGCACAAATAAACTATTTTACAAATGTAGAGTATTTGTGGAGTACATAGTCATGAGTGAGCCGAGCAGTTGATAACTCCTCAGAACGAGAGAGTATTTTGATGGATTTACGAGCTCTATTTGTTTAAACCTGCAAGCGTGTCATCAAATTATTTTAATAAATAGAAATAAAAAATAATAAAAAGAAAATATCTAAGTTTTATTTTGGCCACTCCGAGTTAAATTTTTGAGTTCACCCGCGATGCAAATTTATATAGTTAGATCCAATCTTCACATTTAATTTTTTACGAGCTTTAGGAATATTTAGAAATGCATGAGGAGGGGTCCACCGAAACCAGTAAATTTTTCAAAGGAGTCTACGAGAAAAAAAAGTTTGGCAACCTCTGATATAGATGGTAAGCTCAGGACCTTGAAGAAGATGCAGAGTGCTGTCTCCAAGCAAAAAAATGTGTCCATGGACATAAAAAGGGGGTATGGACCAAATTGTTGTCGTTTTCTGTACGTTTACGGGTGCGAAAAATATTCGATACCGCACTGTCAGCAAAACTTACGTTTTTCTGCTGGCTGGTTATAAAATTATTTATTTAAAAATTTACCTCGAAGTATATTTCTCAACTGGAAAAAGTGCGAATTCACCATTTTAACTGATGGCGTTTTCTTTTCGCGAAAGAAATGTCACCTTATTATATGGCGACATTATCAGAGTGCAAGATTTTAAAGAAAGTGTACGCCATATGTCTGTGAAGATGCCGAGAAAAGAACAAGAAAACCATACAGCCCCGGAGGAGGGCAGAATAAATGCAACATTATTTCAAGAAAAGAAAGCGCTAGAAATTATTTCAATTAAAGTGTTTATTGAATGTTTGAATTTATTGAATATGCATATATACATACATACATATATAAGGCATTTTGCTTAATTTATCTTGTAAAAGGTAATAAGTATTTGAAGTGGGTAGTTAAGTATTTTAATAATATGTCAGTTTAAAATTCCTTTATCGTTTCCAGTCTTTTTTTCAATTCAGATTTATGTCCCATGGAATTGCCTAAGTGCGCTTCCTTTCAACAACCTCATTGCGGTTGATTATCTGTACCGGCGTCTTTTTCATGTTGCTGAAGTGATCAGTCAATGCCGTCAATGTGTCAGCCGGCAAGCGTCTATCGAACGGATAGCCCATAGCACGCTTATCGGGATATAATTTGTCTTTCAGACCGCAAAATGAAGCAGCGTCACCGCATACATCGGGTCTGGAAAGTAGAATGAAAGGAAATATTATTTTTTAACAAAATGTTATATTCTGAAGTTTCCAACTACTACTCACGCATCGTTTCTCTGCAGCACTGCATCATCGTCATAGTTCGAAATCATTACAAATAGTTCAAATTGCATGCCCTCAGGTTTTCCCTTTGGCAGCAACATATGCGCTGGCCAACCACAGCCGCAGAAACGGAATTCAGCCAATTTGCTTGGATCAGAAGGTAAATGGGCCTTGTCTAATCTACGGAAGGAACGTTCATAGGGTATAGTAACACTGGAGTTATCATAGGACTGAGTGATTTTGTTGACGCCAGGCATTACTGAAAAATTAAAATAAAAAATAAATAAATAAATTATAAGTTTGAGTTTAGGAGTGAAAGTAGCCACAAAGTAAGAGTAGCAAAGAGTCAGCTTATAAAGCTTTTGCTCACTGCCTCCTTTTACTTTTTTGCTTTCTCAACTTCCTTTTAAGTCTACTCCTTTCCCGCTGCTCCCGCTGATATACTCACAATTCACAGTGAACTTGTCCAACTCTATGCTTAGCTGACGCTGTTCATTCAGGGTTAATGGTGTGCCACGCTCATCGGTGATGGGACAGAGGAATATGCGACAAGTGCCACGCTTAACCGTGCCTGTCTCGTTGTTCACCTCAATTAAGTATTCGAAGGGTGAGTGTTGCAAGTGTCTGAACAAGGCATAAACACTTCCGCCTGGCCCGAAGTCCAGTCCAGCGGCCAAGTCCACATCGGATTTTTCCCAATAAGTAAGCAGTGTGTTGATGATATTCTTTGATGAACTTATGATGCGCACATCAGCGCGTGTCACCGACACGCCATTGTAGCCAAGCTCCGGTTCGCTGTATACTGGCAACTTCTCCTTGAAGCGATTGAATAGCGTATCGAGATAACCATGCCAACGATAGAAGATCGGATCACGCATAGCTGTTGTCACATCACCCATTACGCCAAAATCTTCTAAGAACCGATTATCGGGGTCGTGAGAAAATGAAATGCAATTGTGTCCTTGATTGTGCAGATCGCCATAGAAGCCGGGGTTGACGGAGAGATCAGAGCACTCCATAAGATCGCCTAGTAAGTCGATGCCCTTGATCTCATCCAGCGGAATGTTGGTGCCTCTTGTCTGCGTGTGAGCGGTATAATTTTTCATGATATTTTCTTTACTCTCTAGTTCCTATATACTCACATCTGTGACATAACCCTGATCGATGGCCTGTACAATACGATTGATCCAGCGCTCAATATCGGCCAACTCCATTACGCGTCCATCACGATCGATATCCTTCAATTTTGTGTTTGCTATACGCCCCGGATAGGTGCGATTGTTGAGACTGCTCAAAATTTTCGGGAAGTAACCTTCGATAATGGGTTCGCGTATATTGTTGAGTGGTTGTAGTTTGGCTAAATTATTACAGAAACGCTCCACATTGTAACGCGCCATCAGCTGGTGATGCATGTAATAGAACAATTCACCACGGCGATCCTTGCGTACCACCTCCTCGGGTCCCGAGCCGGGGTACACCAAATGCCAATGCCAGTGATGACTATTCACGCCAATATCCTCGCGGAAGTAGCTCAAGCGCTGCTCTTCTTCGCGATCGGATGCGGTGAAATTTGGCGGAATTTCAATGCGACGCTTTAAGAAAATATTAAACTCTTCGGCTCACTGCTGTATGCCAATGTGAAACTTACCCGACTGCCTGGATCGGTGACCAGCTTGCCCTCGGCGCGAGCATCTTGAAACACCGATGGTTCGACGAAGTTTTGCGGAAATTGTTCGCTAATCACCGGCACCTGGAAGTTAGCGGTGTCCTTGCGATGCTGTACTGCCACCGAAAAGGCATACTGAAAGAGGAAAGCATTGACGCGATCTTTCACAAAGGCGGCCAACGAAATGAAATCCTCCTCGGTGGGCGGTTCAATCAGCAATTGAATGAGCTGCCCGGCAATACGGCGATGTGGTTGATAGAAGAGTGAGAATTGTTGGCGTTTGCGTAGCGCATTGGCAAACTCTAAATTGGGCTTTTGCTTCAATTCCCGTATGGGTATTTTCACATCGACCTCCGCACCGAAACGATTCTGTATGTCTTCTTTTACTTCGGTGTAGTTCTCGGTATAGAAGCTATCCGGTACGTCTAGTATGGATTTGCCATCATCACGTGCGGCAAATACCGGTTCCAANCCATAGAAGCCGGGGTTGACGGAGAGATCAGAGCACTCCATAAGATCGCCTAGTAAGTCGATGCCCTTGATCTCATCCAGCGGAATGTTGGTGCCTCTTGTCTGCGTGTGAGCGGTATAATTTTTCATGATATTTTCTTTACTCTCTAGTTCCTATATACTCACATCTGTGACATAACCCTGATCGATGGCCTGTACAATACGATTGATCCAGCGCTCAATATCGGCCAACTCCATTACGCGTCCATCACGATCGATATCCTTCAATTTTGTGTTTGCTATACGCCCTGGATAGGTGCGATTGTTGAGACTGCTCAAAATTTTCGGGAAGTAACCTTCGATAATGGGTTCGCGTATATTGTTGAGTGGTTGTAGTTTGGCTAAATTATTACAGAAACGCTCCACATTGTAACGCGCCATCAGCTGGTGATGCATGTAATAGAACAATTCACCACGGCGATCCTTGCGTACCACCTCCTCGGGTCCCGAGCCGGGGTACACCAAATGCCAATGCCAGTGATGACTATTCACGCCAATATCCTCGCGGAAGTAGCTCAAGCGCTGCTCTTCTTCGCGATCGGATGCGGTGAAATTTGGCGGAATTTCAATGCGACGCTTTAAGAAAATATTAAACTCTTCGGCTCACTGCTGTATGCCAATGTGAAACTTACCCGACTGCCTGGATCGGTGACCAGCTTGCCCTCGGCGCGAGCATCTTGAAACACCGATGGTTCGACGAAGTTTTGCGGAAATTGTTCGCTAATCACCGGCACCTGGAAGTTAGCGGTGTCCTTGCGATGCTGTACTGCCACCGAAAAGGCATACTGAAAGAGGAAAGCATTGACGCGATCTTTCACAAAGGCGGCCAACGAAATGAAATCCTCCTCGGTGGGCGGTTCAATCAGCAATTGAATGAGCTGCCCGGCAATACGGCGATGTGGTTGATAGAAGAGTGAGAATTGTTGGCGTTTGCGTAGCGCATTGGCAAACTCTAAATTGGGCTTTTGCTTCAATTCCCGTATGGGTATTTTCACATCGACCTCCGCACCGAAACGATTCTGTATGTCTTCTTTTACTTCGGTGTAGTTCTCGGTATAGAAGCTATCCGGTACGTCTAGTATGGATTTGCCATCATCACGTGCGGCAAATACCGGTTCCAAGGGATTTTGGAAAAGCAAATTTAATGCTTTCTTATTTTGCTCTGAAGACATAGTGAAGTTTAGTTTGCAATGAATTACTGTGTGACACTGTGATATTTTGATGAGTTCTACGGGCTTTTATACTATTCTGGAGACATGTGAAAGTGGTGAATTATCATTTGCATTTCTGTGGTTTCTCTTGTTTTTTGTTGCAAGTTTCAATAAATGCATTGTGCTATTTATTTTTGATAAGCTTGAAAACCGCAAACGCTTTAAACTTATGTAGCGTGAGAACTAAATAAAAGTGGATACCGTACATATGTATGTACATTAGTACGCAGCACTTTCCATACAAAAAAAAAAAAATCGGTACGGGGTTTAAATTATTTTATTTTATTTAAATTATTTTATTTTAGTACTTCCTCAGTTTACATTTTCGGAGGTATTTTCAAATTGGTCCAGCTCACGTAAATCCTAATATCTTCCTGAAATTTTTTGGCGAATGTCTTAAAACATAATGAATTGTATAATTCCCGTGGAACACTCACAAGTCGTTTTTTTTTTGGCGAGGCACCTTAATGTACATTTGTATAGCAGATTTTTTCGACTATACGCCTCTAGACTAGAAGGATTCTACGTGTAATGCTATGCGAATTTGTTGAAGAAACAATTGGTCTAAAATAAATTTGAAATTTGCCAAATTGCGAAAATAGGTTTCCTAGCATTTTGCTGTAGTGTCGTAAAGCAGTGCTTCAATTTTGTATAAGAACATGCTATATGGGGTCTTTTGGTATGAGGAATCCATTTCTGCACTCGTATTTTTCTTACAACTTCCAACAGAGGGCGCAATAGTGAACATTTTCACATTTTCTTCGAAACCTATTTTCAAAATTTGACAAACTCCAAATTGATTTTAGACCCAAATTTGTAGAATCCTCTTATTCTATACACGTATAGTAAAAAAAAAAATTGAAATTAAATTTGGAAAATAATTTGTGTTGAAAAAGTCGCAATTAAGCTTTTTCAAGATGAGTAATATGCTGCCTTTTAAGTTTTAGGCTAATGAAGCAACTTAAATGAAAAGTTTGGAGAAGATTTTATTTTATTTGGACTCTACTTACTAGTTGTATGAGCTATAGAGAGTATATTAAGAGAGTTGCTAGTTTCTGTCTAGTCAAAATATCTGGAAAACGTATGTATTTTTATTCTTCTTGGTTGTCAACTCATGGCAGCTATTGTAGAGGCCGCAATGTCCCACGTGTTTTTATGTAACTTCCCCTGATGGTGTTCTAAAGCTTAGCTTTTCCAAGAACATCAACCAGTCATCAAGGACCGGGCACTCCGAGAGCATGCAGTAAAATCATAGCCGTGGAAGAAGCGACTATCAACCGAAACTGCTTTGTATTTTTCATTGGGATTCATTCTATGAGAACAAGTAAGTATGTTTACTTGTTTGTGTGAAAATTACGTACACGTTTACACAAGCATCGCCGGGAAGGAAGTACTTGGCTCTTGTAAACTCAATTGACACGTAATTCGATACGGTGACTGTAACGGCTGCTGTACTTGGCAAACAAACAACAATAGAGCAGCCAAGGCACCAATTATGTGCGAGTACTTGTGAGTGGGTAGTCTCCTCCCTACAAACACAATGCATATTCGGAAACATATACATTTGTACATACATATATATGTTTACCGTATTTTCCTTTTGCTGCTTTAATCCTTCGTTAAATTGCAGCACGAGCCGAGAGTTTCTGTCAAGCTGGAAAAATGATAACTTTTTCATTGCACTTCTACCCTACAAAATCTTTTGCTTTTCATAATAGACTTTCATGCATCCATTCCTCTATGACTGTTTTCATCCACCATCTTTGTGCTGTATAGTGGTTATCATTGTTTTAATGATAATGTAAAATTAATTGTTTCCATTTTGTTGAGTGACAGTTTACAAATTGTTGCAGTTGTGCTTTAGAATAATTATGAGCTTATATAACATGCCGTTGAACAAATTTGTCTACATTCAGCAATTCAGCTAGGATCTCTTCTATATATATGCAATTGTACATACACACTACATATATATATATATATGAGTAGAAGCTATAAGCCATTATCGCACAAATTTATAATAATAATTATAGTATAAACTTTAGTACAAACTTTATGTACGCAGGTATGAAAATACTCGTAACATCTATAGTTTTGGTGTTTCGAATTTTTAGGGTTAGTGGATAAAGTTTGACAACTATTCAGGTTGAAAAAAAAAAAAAAATAAAAATCTAACATGATGAAGTTAATAAAAAAATCCAATTTTTGATGAAATTTTTTTTTATTTTAATCTATCTCACACTTCATAGAAAGTCGCACATTTTGATATCTTAACTGATTTTCTCCGACAAAAATAGTTTATTAACTACAAATAATTAAAAAAAGATACTTCTCCGTGAGTTCAAAATTTCGCGAATTTTTGTTTTTCGATATTTTCGAATATCATGACGAAATAAAAACTAGGTGTCTTCTTTTTTTCGAAAGAATTTAGGAAAATATATTTCACCCCAAAAAAATTATTTAGGTGTAAATATTGTATGGAATGACCCATATACACTTTTTGATAAGTACTTATGTGGCTTTGGTGACAACCCTCTTCGAAAAGTTTTAGGAAATCAAGTTTTCTTAAATTTCCCTCATTTTATACACATATGCAAATGCATATCTCATTTATTTTCTAATTACCCTATTTAAAAACTTTTTCGAAACAAAGATTTCCTAAATCCGTCTCGTTTGATACTCGCATTCTAGTATTTGATTTAACTTATCACCTAAATTGATTGTATCCTTTTGAACCGGTGGCAACCCTTGTCAAATACAAAATCGAAATAACGCTATCTTAACATCTTTCTTTTTACACGTACATATGTATACATCATTTAAGTTGTTAATACAATTGATTTTGAAGTTCTAAACAGGTGGTAAACCTAAGAAAAAATTGTATCGGAATAAAGCCTTTTTAAAACCCGCTCGTTGTATACCCATATACAAAATTTCATTGAACTTTTAAATTAAATTAATTTTAAATTTGCACACCTTGCTCAACATTTTTTTCGAAACGAAACTATATTAACTACAACTTTTTGAACCGGTGGCAACCCCCTTCAAAAATATTTACGAAATAAAGATTTTTAAACCTTTCTCAGTTGGATTGAGTTAAAATTTCTGAAGAGCTGGCAACCCTCTTCAAACATATTTTCGAAGCAAAGTTTTCTTTAATCCTTCTCGTTTGATACCCATGTTTACGTAGTTGATTTAACCTATCAATGAAATTGATTTTAACTTTTTGAACAGGTGGCAACCCTCTTAGAATTTACTGGCGAAATAAAACTGTCTTACATTCCTTTTATTTTATACCCGTAATTAAATTTTTAATTTAAGTTGCTAATTAAATGGATTTTGAATTTCTAAACAGGTGGCAACCTTCGTCAAAAATATTTTTGAAATAAAGTATTTCTGAAACTCTCTCGTTTGTTACCCATACATACATGTATAGAGTATAATATATAATTTAACTTGTTAATAAAATTACTTTTGAATTTATAACCAGGTTGAGACCCGGTTCAAAAGCATGTTCGAAATAAAGTTTTTCTCAACCTCGCTCGTTTGATACACATAATAAAATAGTTGCCTTAACATAATTAATTTGATTTTAACTTTGTTTTAAAATATTTTCGAAGTAAATTGTTTTTGAACGTCGTTCGCTTGACACCTACATTCTTGTAATATTGTATTTAATTAATTAATTTAGTAATTTAAATTTTGGAAAAAGATGGCATTGCTCTCAATTGCTTCCTCATCATGGTAGGCAGAAGCCATTGTTCGGCAAATCTATTCTACCAGCATGCCTTGGCCCTTTGTTATTCCGGTTAGCGAATGTGTTAAGTTGTTGGAACTTCTCCTTTCAAAGCTGGACATGATTTGACGGGTTGTCCTAAAAGTTGGTTGTGTTAACCATCTTTTATTTGCGCTCTACAAAAATTCTGATTTATGTCATGATTTGCTGGTAGATAATAGAGTGGCATGTTGAAAAGACTTTACGTCAGACAGAGACGTTCCCTTTCTTGCGAGCTCGTCTGCCATACAATTAACTTTTATGTATGTCTCTAACAGCCGTACCGAAACAAAAGCGTCAGCGTCGTCTGGCTGTCAAAAAATTCTCATGCCCATACCATTTGTATGAAGCATGCCGAAATAACGTGGCGTCAACGCTTAGCGGTTAGAAAAACCTATTTTGACAGGGCGTTAGGAAGTAAAGTTGGCCACAGAAAAGGGCGAAACTTTCATTTTCGTAGTTCACACAAACAAACCTATGCTTATTGTTGGTGTTATTTCTTCATTTGAAATATCGTTGCCGCGCGCAGTCGGTAAGCCAAAGTGCGGCCTCTTTTATAGCTGCGTGCTCGGTTTGGAAAACGTTGCATTTATCTGGAAGCTGAAAACAATGGCTATCCAGCTTTCTACATTAGTTTTGAGCCAGCCGTGTATTTGATTGAAGAGTTAGGTTGAGGACCCGCGATAGAACTGTATTCTCAGTCCTTCGAGAGGAAACACTCGTTGAGAATTTGTTCTCAAAATTTATAGTCGGTGTTGTGTGGAGACCGAGAAACGTGTGGGTTTTTAAGTTAGAATATTGGTGTGACGGATCCAGTTTAGTAATGCGTTTAGTCCTATAGCATTACAGATTGCATGAAATCTCCGAAAATGGTCCACGGGCATAAAGTCAAGTAAGGGTCTAGGTCGTTCAGAAGGTGTAGCGAGTAGCGCACAAGTGATTTGCATGCATGTCTCTCTTCGAAGCTTGTTGCTCTTAGAGCTAATGAAAGGTATGAGGAACCGTTTTGCAAGCGTCGAGGGCGGTAACGATCTTTCTAGTTCTATTCGAAGTTGAAATATGTAAATCTTTGCTATTCTTGTGAAGAGTATCGTAAATATTTTTACGGGATTGGCATTCAGCCCAATTTCTTCCAAACAGGTTTCCACGATAACCAAGGTGTTCTGCAACAGCTCCTCCAACGCTTGTGGCTATTCACCAGCTGTAGT